ACTGTTTGAACTCGGGAGGCGGAGATTGCAGTGAGTTGAGATCACACCACTGCACTCTAGCCTGGGTGACAGAGCAAAACTCTATCCTGTGACTGTATATTTTGCTCGACCCTATACTTCCAATGTCTAGCACAATGTTTGATGTAAGATAACACATATAGCATAAAGACATGAATACCAGAATTTCACTGCAGCCTTTTTGGCATAGTGTAAAACTGAAAACAACTCAAATGTTTATTAATAGAAAAGTAGTTAAATAAACTAATCCACATTTGTGCTGCATAATATTACACAGTCATTTAAAAAATGAGCTTAATATGGCCGGGTGTGGTGGCTCACACCTATAATCCCAGAACTTTGGGAGGCCGAGGCAGGTGGATCACGAGGTCAAGAGATCAAGACCATCCTGGTCAACAAGGTGAAACCCCATCTCTACTAAAAATACAAAAATTAGCTGGGCATGGTGGTGCGCGCCTGTAATCCCAGCTAGTTGGGAGGCTGAGGCAGGAGAATTGCTTGAACCCGGAAGGCGGAGGTTGCGGTGAGCCGAGATTGTGCCATTGCACTCCAGCCTGGGTAACAACAGTGAAACTCCATATCAAAAAAAAAAAAAGAGCTTAATCTTTATATTCTGACACAACCATTTTACTGAATGAGAAGGGAAAAAATGCATTTTATTACATATACACAGATGTCCAGAAATGTACACATCAAAGTGTTAACAGTTATTACATTCAATTAGGACTAAAACTGGGAACAGAGACTTTTTATATACTACCTTATATAACTCTCTATTGTTTCAATATTCTTCAACAAGTATGCATTTCTTTTCTAATTAACTTTCTTAGGCTATGATCAACTGCAGGTCCATATAAATTATTACAGGCTTTATTCTTTGTTCATATTTTTATCCCTATTTCTTAAAAATATTTTTGTAGGGGCCGGGTGCAGTGGCTCATACCTGTAATCCAAACACTTTGGAGGCCAAGGCGGGCAGATCACCTGAGGTCAGGAGTTCAAGACCAGCCTGACCAACATGGTGAAACCCTGTCTTTAAAATAAATAAATAAATAGATAAAAATATTTTTGTAGCCGGGCATGGTGGCTCACGCCTGTAATCCCACCAATTTGGGAGGCCGAGGTGGGTGGATTGCTTGAGGTCAGGAGTTGGAGACTAGCCTGGCCAACATGGTGAAACCCCATCTCTACTAAAAATGCAAAAATCAGCCGTGCATGGTGGTGTGCTCCTGTAGTCCCAGGTATTCGGGAGGCTGAGATAGGAGAATCGCTTGAACCCAGGAGGCAGAGGTTGCAGTGAGCCAAGATCACGCCACTGCACTTCCAGCCTGGGCAACAGAGCGAGATTCTGTCTCAAAAACAAACAAAAATGTTGTAATGATCCCTGTAGCAATACTGAGAGGAAAGTAAGACAAGAGATAGTACTGATGCAGTTATCATAGATTAAAGCTATCGGTAAATTGCCTGACATCACCAAGCAAAACAAATGACAGAACTGGGGCTAAGGAATGGCTTTTTTCTCTTAGTCCAGTGCTCTTTTCATTGCACATCACTGCCTCTCCAGTAAGGGAAAGAACGCTGCCTTGATCCACTCAACATGTTAGTACTAGAAGACTAGAAAAGACTTAAGCCTATTCCCACTGCCGACCCTCTCAATCCCCATAAGTCATTTGAGGGTACTGTTGACCAATGGCCATGGGGACCTCTTTTAAACAACCCCAGTGAAGAGAAGGTTACAAATCCTGGCACAAGCTCCTTTGCTGTTAAACAATTCCCTCATATTAAGCTGAAACCTATTTTTGTTACTTTAACTCCCTGGTCCAAGTTTGGCCATTTGGAATGGCACAAAACTTAAATATACTCTCCTTTTCTAGAATATATTAAGGTATGTGAAGAAAGCTATCATCTGTGTCCTTTGGAGAATGAGTTCTTTACCTAAATAAACTTCCAAGAAAACAACTGTAATTATCCAGCTTCTAACTGTGGTGAAGTCCTAACAAACTGCTTGGCAGAGGAGGAAAAGGAAAACTATCATGTAGGACCCCTACTGAATCATAAAGCATTTAATACAAGTAGTCAATTGTTACTACAATCCTGTAAGGCAAGGGTGTCCAATCTTTTGGCTTCCCTGGGCCACACTGGAAGAAAAATTGTCTTGCAGCACAATAAAATGCACTAGCACTAATGACAACTGATGAGCTAAAAAACAAACAAAAAAAACTCATAATATTTTAAGAAAGTTTGTGTTGGGTTGCATTCAAAGCCGCCCTGCGCCATGCGTTGGACAAGCTTGCTTTAAGGGGAGTTACAGAGGACCATGCATTTCTTATCTCTCTTTTGCTAGATGTCACCAAATCAAATAGCTTTCCAGTGTAAAAAACAGGCATGAAGTTGGGGTCGGATGCTTCTGACAGTCTTGGCTTTAGACAGCTACTCATAGCAGATGCAAGAATCTGTTATCATCACAGCCAATTATTAGTTGTATATTACACAGATGAACAATCAACCTAATGATTTTTCTTCAGTAAATATTTTGTGTTGTTTTTGTTAGAACCTTCAATAACAAAGTAGCCTGGTGGTCCTCCTGATTAACAAATGAGACTTTTTCATAACTTAAAAGAGGGAAAGGAATTGAAGATAAAAATATAAAAATGATCAAATGAAACTTAATGACTGAAACTAAGACCCGTGAAAACATTTAAAACCAGAATGACAAGATTATTAGAGAACACCAAGAAAATGCACAACAAAAAGTACAAGTAGTAGAAGCCTAGGAAAAGCTACATTGTAGTTACTTATTAAAACTCCTTTTTAGGAAAACAGTAATGAAAAACAATCAAAATCAAATGTTTGTACACAATCTTAGGGTAAGAATACACAAGACGCAGGCATCTATTTGGATTAGTGCAAGCTTTTTATTTTTATTCTGGTTTACTTATTGGTAATAGGAGCAAACTCGGGAAGGTCCTCCCAAATACTGCTTTGGGTTTTCATTTTGATAAACCTCTCAACCTAAGTGGGGGAAAGGAGAGCATTCAATTTAAAGTATTATTACTTATTCTCCCCTACTGATCTGTGTTGCCTTTCACCAACATTTATCATAATTTGTATTTATTTATCGTTCTGCTTACTTTTTGCCCATATCATCTAGAAACTATAACCTTCGTGAAGGCAGAGTCAACTCTTTTGAACACAGTATACGTATGAACACACATGGAAGGTGCTTGTTAAATATTTATAGAATAAGCAAAGACAGAAATTGGAAAGGAAAAGAAAGACCATAGGTTACCGAAAACAAATTACTTTGCTTTCTTAATCAATATTGGGAAATTAATCACTTATTGAACACTTATTATGACCCAGGCCCTTTACGCATGTCATATAGTTTAGCCTCACAGCAATCCTGCCAACTTTGTCATTTAAGGTCAAAGTGCCGGGCTCAGTGGCTCAAGCCTGTAATCCCAGCACTTTGGGAGGCCGAGGCGGGTGGATCATGAGGTCAAGAGATCGAGATCATCCTGGTCAACATGGTGAAACCCCGTCTCTGCTAAAAATACAAAAAAAATTAGCTGGGCATGGTGGCGCGTGTCTGTAATCCCAGCTACTCAGGAGACTGAGGCAGAATTGCCTGAACCCAGGAGGCGGAGGTTGCGGTGAGCCAAGATCGCGCCATTGCACTCCAGCCTAGGTAACAAGAGCGAAACTCCGTCTCAAAAAAAAAAAAAAAAAAAAAAAAATCAAAGTAAGGCTCAGAAAAATTAAATATTACGTAACTCTCTTAAGCCGCACACCTAGTAAGTTTGAGCTCCATAACTTATGTGAATATTAGGTTTATCTGAGTGATGCTGGCCCCTAATATGCCCTTGTCATCAATGATTTCCTCTCTATACAGCTATGGGAACAGGGAGAGCGATTCACAGCAAACAGCACATTAGTAGTTTTCTTTTTTTTTTGAGACGGAGTCTCGTTCTGTTGCCCAGTAGTGCAGTGAAGCGATCTCGGCTCACTGCAACCTCTGTCTCCAGGGTTCAAGCGATTCTCCTGCCTCAGCCTCCTGAGTAGCTGGGATTACAGGCGCCAGCCACCACGCCCAGCTAATTTTTCTATTTTTAGTAGGTTCGGGGTTTTGCCATGTTGGCCAGGATGTTCTTGAACTCCTGACCTCGGGTGATCTGCCCACCTCGGCCCCTCAAAGTGCTGGGATTTCAGGCGCCCGTCACCACACCCGGCTAATTTTTGTATTTTTAGTAGAGACAGGGTTTTGCTATGTTGGCCAGGTTGGTCTTGAACTCAGGTGATCCACCCGCCTCAGTCTCCCAAAGTGCTGAGATTACAGCACTTTGAGCCACAGCGCCCGGCCTGCCAATTAGTAGTTACATACAACCTAAGTCCTCTGGTTATCTAGACAGTCTGATTTTTTTTCCAGTTTACAGAAGTCCTGCTAAACAGCACAAGTATTTTTACATTAACCAAATATTTATCTTCAAAACAATTATTACAAAACAGAAATTTCCCACTGTACTGATGAGTACAGGCTAAGACCGTTTAATCATTCACATTTCCCCTACAAACCTGTGGGCTTGGGTTTTCGGAAAAAGAAAAAAGGAAGAAAAACGGTGGCTTCACAAACTTGTAAAATTTGAAAGAGACACTCATGCCGCAATCCTCCTTTCCTAATGTGATCCAGATGGGAACGATGAACGACATAACTGTCCCATTTGCACCCCAGGTTTGATTAGGGTCCTGTTCACTCTGTGCAATTAGTTTAGTGTGCTGACCATCAAATATTTACCAGGAGACAACATGTCCAGGTCAAATAAGGGCGTGAGAATAACATTTTAGAAAGAGTTGCACCGCAGCCAAGACTAAGTCTAGGCTGCGGTCCACACTCGCCCTAGCCGACTCCTCTCATATCCTCTCTCCCCTCTCCAGTGAACCATTCCTTCCAGGACTCAGAGACGGTGCAACACTTAGGTTCCTACCTTGGTCTGCACACTCTTATCGAACTTGTCATTTTTGAAGCTAAACGTATTCTGGTGCTTCTGGGGCCTGGAACGAACCACGTTGCCTTTCTGGGAGCTCATTGCCGAAACCAAAACCACTCTTCGCTGGGAGCAGGCAAAAGGATGAAGGGAAAAGCCAACGAATTACTTCCAGGAATGGACGGCTTCTGTCAATGACCCGGAAGAAACTTATGCTGCCTTTCCGCCCCTGCTCGCGGTCAGCCCACGTGACTCTTCTGGGAGGTCAAAGAGAGTTGCGAGGCCCTCCCGGCTGTTAGGCCAGGCCACTCCGCGAGGCGCAGCCTTGACCCCTCCAGCCCCGCGCGTCCTCTTTCTCAAACCCGGGGAACAAGTCCCGCTTTCTTCGAAATGAGAATTCCCCCATTGGCCCGAATGTGGTAATCCATCAAGGCAAAGGGGCGGGGAATATTTGCTCTTATTGGTTCTTCTTTTCCGCAATCCCCGCCTCCTGCCGAGTGAGCTCAGCCTCTCCTGGAGCCCAGAGCGCCTCCGACTGTGCTGGGCGGCCTGTGATTGGTGGAAGCGGGGCGAGGCTAGGCTCCGTCCCTCCCCGCGCCCGCTCGCAGGCTGGAGCCGGGGTCAGCTTTGGCACCTTCCTCCAGTCAGTGGCCAACTCCTGGCTCAGCGAGGATTCTGCTAGTGGCCTCGGTTCCCCTCTACTCCCTCCCGCTACCGGAACGAGCCCCGCGCCTGGCAGGCTGAGGAGGAGCAAAGAAAGCAGGTTTAAAGAGAAAAAAGACCTGGCCGGGTCTGGGTGGTGTCTGCGGTGCCAGAAAGGGAGGCGGCGGCGGCGGCTGCGACCACGGCCGCGCGGGACGTGAGGCCCGAGAGCAGCCGACGGCAGCCGCGGCAGCTCCAGCGCCCTGCACCGGGGCTGTTAGTCAGCAGAACGCGAGCTGGTGTGGAGGAGCAGGGCCGGCGGGAGGCGAGACCAGGGAGCGCGAGCCGGGCCCCTCGGGCGCCACCGTCTTTCTTCGTCCCGGCGCCGGGGACTGCAGCCTTGGTCCCCGCTCCTCTACCGGGCCGGTCTGCAGGCGGAGAGAGTCCAACAGCGTCCGGAGCGCGGGTCTTGCCTTGTGGAGGACAGCGCGTCGGCTGCGGTTCTCTCCCAATCCCTGCCCGGCGTCTCGGCCCGGGCCGCTCAGGTGCAGGTGCGTGCAGCCTCGGGGCTTGGGGACGCCACAGCGGGGCTCGGGGAAGGGGCGCTAGGCCGGGAGCCGCAGCGCGGGAGGGACTAGCCCGGGCCGGCGGGGGGAGGGGAGCGGGAAGCGTCTTTGTTGTTGGCTACCGGGATCCCTCTCGGCGCAGGGGAAAGGCGGGGAAGCCACTCCGGATCAGGTCTGTGTTTTTGAAAGGGTTTTCTGGTGGTTCCGTGAAGGGGAGCGGTACGGACAGTCCCTGAGGTCCGTGGAGCGGCCGGAGTCGGGGGGCAGGGGAGGGAGGACCGACCGACGCTCTAAGAAGATCTTTGGCCCTCGCGGAGGAGAAGGGTTCCATTTCGTTTCCTTTGCTTTTCTCCCAGTGGATGGAAAGATGGGGTCAGGTTCCCATTCCCTTCCTTGGCGCACTGAGAGATTCGCGGGTGCCTAAAAGCTTTTCTCCTGAATGTCCTTATCTCTGTCAGGCGCGATTTTAGATTGAATCTGCAGCGGGCTTTTGGTGATTTGTGTATTCCGGTGGGGCTGTCGCAGGGTTTTTTTTTTCTTTAGATGGTAGTACCTTAATGTTACGTATTTTCGAACTCTAAGTTAAGCTCGTCAGGAATCGTTTTAACTCCCGAAACAAAGTTATGCCAAATTAGATAGTACTGTGTTGGGGGGGCTTTGGTAAAGGAAAGAATGTACTTAACTTGGGCTTTTTGTCTTTTAAAAAAAGTTCAGATCTTTGATTCTTGGGTGAGATTTCTGCCAATGCCAGAAGAGAATTTTTTGTAAATGGTGCTTTAGTGTGAGGTAGATCTGGTAAGCAAAAGGATGAATAACGGAATACAGAGGGTGACCTTTAAATTTCGCTGTTTATGAAAGGTGTTCCTGTTTAATACTTTTTGTGATGCTTGATCCATAGATGATTCATTGGAATTTTTTTATGCCTCCAATAAATCATTGGAGTTCTTGTGCCAACATATGAGACTATATTACCTAATGAGTCGGAGTAGAAAGTCAGATACATGTAATAACGTTAATCTGTTCAGATTGACAGGGAAATTTACATTTAAATGAACATTTTTCCATAAAGAGCTTCTCTACGTATGTTTATAGCATGAATTTCAGTTAGGTGACATCTAATGATAGCCAGTATTTTGAAAATTGTCATGATTGCTAGTATTTTAATTTGAAACGCCCAACTTGTTGGTAAGTTTTTATTTGGAGAATAGGGGTCGTGTCATTACTTAAGGAACACATAGGTAAAAATCTCTGTTGTGCAGTAATTGTTATATCATTTGAAATCCGGGAGGAAATGAATGGCACCTTCACCTATATTTTGACCTCTCTTTTCTCCTACTCTAGTATTAATAAGGTTAATTGGCAAGGACAGGATTAGATTTTTAGCAGGCTAGGCAGTTTTAATTTTGTCCCTTGGTGTGCAGTACTCTAGTTGATGAGTAGCTTGTTTCCTTGAGTATCTTTGCCCATTTTGAAATGTTTATGAAATGACTGCTGACAAAGAAATTTGTTCCTGGGACAAACAAAATCACCATAAAACATCATGGCAAAATAAAGTTTTTTAGTAGATTAATGAACACAGAAGAATTAAGCAATTAGTACCTGTTCCAAGTTTGACCCTGAATTAGTCTACAACTCTACACGTGCTGGCTATTCACATCTGTGTCAGTTTCTCCATCTGTAATATAGGGCTAATAAAATGTGCCACCTGCTCGCTTTATAAAAAGGGCAGTGAGAACCATATAAGCAACAGTTAATCTGCTTATGTGACATTGATTTCTTTAAGTTAAATGAGAATACTTTATAATGCAGTGCTCTTATTTTGTTTTGATACTATGAATTTCAATCCTTTGATGAATAGTTAGCATAAAGAAACAGTTTTAATAGGGAGAATGACTGTCCTTACGCCATCATTTAAGGCTCACACCTGTATCCCAACTTTGGGAGGCCAAGATGGGTGGATCACCTGAGGTCAGGAGTGTGATACCAGCCTGGCCAACATGGAGAAACCCTGTCTCTACTAAAAATACAAAATTAACTGGGCGTGGTGACGCATTCCTGTAATCCCAGCTACTCGGGAGGCTGAGGCAGGAGAAACACTTGAACTCGGGAGGCAGAGGCTGCAGTAAGCCAAGATTATGCCATTGCATTCCAACCTGGGTAACAGGAGTGAAACTCTGTCTCAAAAAAAAAAAAAGAAAGAAAATTAAAATTTCTTCCATATTAAAATTGGAGTTAAGATCTTTAGATAAAGTGATGACAAGAAAATAGAGTATATTTTATTGGTTGGTTTACTTACTGGTAGATTTTACTTCTAATTTATCCAAAGCTTTGTTCTTAATTCTGAAAATTACTCCTACCCTTCCTACCCTGTTTAAAATTTCTCACATATATTGCCCACTTGCCTGTCGAATCCAGCCTGTGAGTTGGAGAGAGAAAGTGAGTTTGTGGCTTTGTTTTGTTTTGTTTTTTTGAGATGAAGTTTTTGCTCTAATTTTTGTATTTTTAGTGGAGATGGGTTTTCACCACGTTTAGGCCAGGTCTCAAAATCTTGACCTCCTTTGATCCGCCTACCTCAGCCTCCTGAGTATCTCGGACTACAGGTATGCACCATCATGCCTGGCTAATTTTTAGATGTTTTTTACGGAGACAGGGACTTGCTATATTGCCTAGGCTGATCTTGAACTCCTAGGACATTGAACTCACTAGGACATTGGCATTACAGACATGAGCCAGTGTACCCAACCAGATGCTGTATTTTATCAAGATTCTAACTGATGTATGTAGGCATTAAAAGGTAAGAAGCACTGCTAAAAGAAGTAGTGGTAATTAGACACTTTGTACCAATGGGTGGTGACTCCGTCAATACAACAGCTACAGATTAAAACAGGTATATTGAGTTAGCTATTCAAGTACCAATGCTGAGACTGTGGGAAATGATTTTCTGAAATAACAAACTATTCTCAGTAATGTTGAAACAGAAATAAAAGTTGCAATCTTACCTGTTCACACAATGGTTGCATTCATAACAAGTCTTTATCTATGTTAAAACTATGCAAATAAACTTGGTATTAAATTCTGTTTAGAAGTATCTAACATTAGTGGTTTTTTTCCCTCTTTCTGTTCCCCTCTATGAATGTCCAGGAGAATATTCAAGCCATAGGGCACAAAGCAGCATTATTTATTTATTTAGACCTATTCTCACTCTGTTGCCCAGGCTGTAGTGTAGTGGCATGATCCCGCTTACTGAAGCCTCCACATTGGCTAATTTTTATATTTTTATTTGTAGAGGGGATTTCACCATGTTGGCCAGGCTGGTCTTGAACTCCTGAGCTCAAGTGATCTGCCCACCTTGTCCCCCTCAAAGTGCTGGGATTACAGGTGTGAACCACTGTGCCCCATCGGAGCAGCACTTTATGCAAGAAGAGTGGAACATCTTCAGCTTTATTACCTATCAGTTTTCTCTACAAAGTCCATAATGTATGAGAGAAGGTCTGTTTGTCTGCATTCCAGATATTTTAGAAGGTAGATAATAGTAATATTTTATTAATTTTTGCTGTTAGGAGGAGTATGAAGTGGTACCTCATTGTAGTTTTTATTTACATCTTTTTTAAATGTATTCTTTATAATAATACTTGGTAGGCATTAAAAATATCTTCTTCCAGTCTTTAGCATGCATTTTCACTTTAAATTTTATCTTGTAATGACTATAAGTTTTAAATTTTAATATCAAATGTATCATTCTTTTTAAAGAAAGTCTTTTCTATACTGGGGTTATAAAAATTCTTTAAGAGCATCTTTTAAGAGTTTTACTTTTCACGTTTAGTTCTTAAATTCATGTGGAACTGTTTTTATATAATGAGGTGCTGATGGTTCTAAATTTACTCAATAAAAAGAACTGTCCTTTATTCTGAAATTGGATAATTTTTATGTTAAGATATTCTGATGAAATTACAGTGATAGTAATTGTTTTTAGTTCTTAATATCTCTTTGTGGCAAAATTAAAATTTGACAACTCTTTCATTCCTACTTTTCTCTTTTTTTCTTTACCTGTCTTTTGAAATCCCTAAGGTTTAGGAACTACTACTTTAGCATACTCTGATTCTTATATTTCATCTGTGTCTCACATTTAACTACTACAGCATCATCAAATTCACGAGTAGGCGCTCTTAAATACGGATCATTGATTATCACCTACATCTTCCACATTTCGTAGTTTGCTTGACATGTCTTTTCACCACCTTTTATTATGGCTGGCATTTTTTAAATGACATTGATGATCCTAATTTTTTTTTGACAGAATAGAATTTCAGG